CATATCATCCATAACGAATAGTTCGTGAGGAGTTATTCGTTCGTCAGCGATCTTCTAAACCTTACTCCAACTAGCATTGAATTCTTCAAACTTATGCTCATTTGAACCATCCTTGTAGACGTCATGGCGTGAGGAAAACCTGACTATTGCCAGACAAATTGCCCAGCAAAGCAGTTTTAGGACCATCTTAAAAATTTTTTTCTACCGGAATGTCAACATTTTGTTTTTGACGCTCTGGTTGACATAAGAAAATCAAGAAGGACTGCTCTGCTTGATTAAACGCTTAAAAAAAGTTCGTTCCTTTAACCTTATTAGATTAATCCCAAGACCTTAACATGAACACGCGGCAATCTCTTTTGTTCTTTCGGCTCATCTGGAGGATTGGGCTGATGGCCAGGGGGGAAAGATGACAAGATGTCGGCGTTCCACTTCTCACAGAGGATCGGGATCTAATGATTTAATGGATTTATGCCAGCGACCTCATGCTATCTTCACACCTGTCTTTTTTCTTTCGACACAAAACGTACATGGAAAGTGCGACCACACCTGAAGAGCTTAACGATGTACCATGTATTAAAGAGAGGTTCCAGGTATGCTTAATACTTGTTTCAGGACTTTTGGGCGACACACACCTGCATCTCAGGACTTTTGCGCGTGCTGTTTGAAATGCCTAACTTTTCTCGTGATGAACTTGGTCCTCTTATATTTGGAAATGATCTGGGAGTCAAACTCCGTCTTATAAACTCGTTGCAAAGAAAGAGACTTCTGAAAAGAAATGTTAACTGCGCGAACTGTAGAAATGCAATGCACCTTATTCGCCATTCGCAAAATGGTAACGGATACATTTGCTGAGTAACTGCTGTGTGTATAGACACGCGTATTCGTCAATTTCAATATCGAAGAGGTAATGTACTGTCTTGTTTTTGTTCTTATACTTCTTCTGTTAACTGTTTTTCTAAGAAATGTCTCCGTTATCGACGCACCTCATCAGTGAGAGTTCAGTTATATTTCGCCAGGAGCAGAATCTCGCTTGGAAGGCAATTGCACTTTCTCTGGCAATGAGCACAAAAGGATTAGTTGAAAATAATGGCGATTGAAGGGACGGCTTCACGGAAAGTTTCAATCAAGTTTGCACGAAAGTGCCGTGAGGTTACATGGGAAGCACTACTGCATCACCCAATCCCACAGTTACGCGGCCCAGGTGTTATTGTATAGATTGACCAAGTCAAAGGTAAGTACACAGACAGAAAGCAGTTTTTTCATTTGTTGTTTTAAGGAGTGCTCATATTATAGATTGAGAGGACAAAGATCGAAAGGCGGCTGGTGTAAAGTAATTCCCTAGAAATAGAACTGCTCATAGATTTTCTTTTAAACTTTGCCTGTTGATTGTCTATCTTAAAAATACAACGATAGGTGCAATGTGTCAATATTAAGGAAAATTTTGATGTTTGTTTCATGATAAAGGCGCGCACTTTTTAACCGACAATGATTAAGTATGTTCCGAGCATACAGTGTCCTCGTGGCCATAACCAGCTAAGATCACGTTTCTAATGATAATGTATTTTTTCTTCATAGAAATTAGTCTATATTCGTGTTAAAGAAAGTCGCTGTTGGCTACACTCAAACTAAGAGAAAAAGCTTTAGGTCACCGTATTTGTTTACGAGGAAAAGACAATTTGTCTCTCTCTAAAGCCAGGCCGCATAGAAAATAGCCGCCAGCTTGTTTGCGCGCGCGTTGAACGCGCTAGTCACTCATAAAATTCTGCGCAGTAAAGATGCGAAATGCAATACTAGGGAACCACCATAAAAAGAATTGTGAGTTGTCAACCAGTTCTCTTATGGCACCAATGCAAAAGCTCTCTTCCGTGCTAATCTTTCCTTTAATATCAATGTCCAAAACAGTTAAAGAATCCAAGCGTCATCGAACCAAACCAAAAGAACTTCCTGTCACTTTAATCCTATCACATGGCCATGACAAACTTTCCCAAGGAACAATTGCACGGCCAACCAAAACCGTTATTTACATCGGGCTTTGTATGGTTCGCGTTCAAATTTGAACGAGTTTCGAGGATCAAGTCGAGACTGTTAACTGTCAATTTACTTTTGAGCAGCTGTGCGTTGTCTTTTAGGTAATGGTTGCCGAAACATTAATGAATTGAGTACTAAATTACATGTAACAAAGACGGTGAGACTACATTTGCATCATTATTCATGATTTAGGTAGATTGAAGGGGTCTTCGGACGAAACCTCGGAACGAGTGTAAGAACAGAGAGTGGGTCTGGGACTACGTATATAAATTCTAATACGGCTTTATTTTGTTCAGGTAGTTTTCCGCTTAGAAATTTTTTACGCGAAACTATCATTGATATCAACTTAATTTTGTCATCAACGACTAACGACTTTTCACTTTTGTTATGACTTATTTAACGATACACTTTATCAGTACCAAAGGGGGTGTCGACCTCGCGGTGAGAGGTGGGTTCTTGGCTTATTTGTCACCCAGTATGTATTTAAGAGGCTGTCTCTCTTATTTCCACCCGGTCAATTTTGCGTCGAAAATAATTTTGCCTAAAACTCTGTCAACAGAAATACTTTACCTAGGAAAGAACTAAATTAGATTTGGTTTGATTCGAAATAATTTTCTGACTGCATTAGGGGCCATAATTATTTCCCAGTCCGTAGGGACCGTCGCAACGTCTCGAAAATTGAAAAATAGGCATATTTTGTAACATTGTAAAATATTTTATTCGCATAGTTAAGCCACAGAATTTATATCAGATTTTTTAAACACCTTTCTAGTTTGCCAAGAAAGTTAGAATTTGCCCTCTCAATATATTTGAAAAGGCGAATTTTAGCATATTCTGACTACTAGAAATCGCCGTCGGCCGATGGCCGTAAATATCCTTAATTTAGACGTTAAGTTTTGGGATTTGGAACCTGGTTGACAACTTTATCCTACACAGCCGTTAAGTTTAGACCTTTATAGGCAAAAATATGCAAAAACCCCGGTACGTTTTCGATTTTTTCCAAAAGTTATGACCGTTTGAATCAGCACATGTACGGGCATTCGCGATTTTTTCGCTTACACCAAAATCGAACCACTGGAGCAGATTTCGTCATAAATACAGCTTACCCGCTTTGCAGCCCGGCTTCATGGCTCACTTCGGAATTTTTCTAATACTCAAATTGGTGAAATCCATGATAAACTCAACAAATAGCAAGGTATTGCCTTCGAAAAGTAGGCGGCATCCATCGTGATACATGGTATCAAAACAATGTCGGAATTGGCCACATTTCGCGGTGAATCACCCATTTAACATCGCCACAGAGCTGAATTTTTTCCAAATTCAGAATATAAACTCTCCATGTCTGGAAGCTGAGGGGGAAATGGAGGTTTTAGGATTCTGAAGTGAAGAAATGATCGCTTAAATTTAGATCACGACGATCCAGTTCGATGTTATACTGTTCTCACAAAGGTCCGCACAAAAGAGAAGACCGCTGATAGGTTGTGCCGTATGTTGTGCCGTATGGTTTTGTTCTGTATCCCAATTTACATCCCAATGTAATATTTGGGGTGAAAAATTTTGGATGAAAAGAATAAATGCTTTTACCCGGAATGTTATATCATCTAATTAATAAATCAGTTTCAAATATCCTGAGCTTGCTTCTCTCTGTTCCGCGTCGATTGTGTCCACAGATCAGCAGCCTGTCAATAGCCGGAGAAATCGGCTACCAACGTGATAAAAACTTTGACACATTCTTCGTATGAACAGATGTTATAGGTGTCGCTTTTGGCAAATTGTCTATCCTTTTCATCAAAACATTTCACTGACTACTAGATATTATAATATATTACACTATAACAACGCCGTCAGAACTTGATTAAAGGTAGTTTGTATCTGTAGAGCATATTCTTCACTTTCAGCCACCGTATAAGACATTGTTTACATAATTCTACTGAGAAACACATTGACAATCACTAATCACGTCCGACAGTTTGTCTATGAGGATCTGTTTTTTGTCTCTCAATTTTACAGGGATCTCAAAATGACTACAGATGGCTCTCAACAAAACCACATTGAATTTCTGAAGTGTGTTACTATGGTAACGTTCACAGAGGTCGAACGTGTCGTAGCAGATTGGATGTGAGACTTTGATCTCTTTGTCAACTTTGTCTACCAGATCTTGTCTCTCGAAATTTTCCTGGACGCATTGGACATCTTTCTCCTCATCCAGCGATATCCCGATCACACCCTGATCTTTTCGTCGCATTGCTGCTAGCCGGGAGAAAAAGCTCTGAACTTGGCTCTTTGTCAGCCACTGTTCTCTAGTGAATACGTGCATTTGATTCATTTTTCGCATTTCGAATGTCCACTGCAACTTGGGCGGGGTCTGCCTTTCGCCCAGTTCTTTCTCCAAGTGTAAACTGTGCCGTTAGGTATTCTTTTACCTTCTCTGAAAATCTAACGCTGCCCCTTGGTTTGCTTACGGCCCATCCTGTTCGTAGAGACGAGTGGGGCGAAGTATCCTCGGGAGAAGTGAGTGGTGTACTGGAATCTAACGAACAGCTCGAACACTCGATACCAGCGGTATCTATCGACGAGAACTTAAGGACCCAGTCCCTTTTGATTACATCATACTGGCTTAACCTGCTGACTGTATGCTGTCCAACGTCCAGCTGCAGCTCTAGCTGCGAAAACGTTTCGAACACTTCAACACATCCAAACACAGGGCATTCAAACAATGGCGTTGTACTCTCTGTTTCCTTGTTGCCCTTTGAACGACGCTTGACCACACGCTTTTCAGGAGGGTCATAAAACCCTTGAGATTCTATGGTTTGAAGGGACGTTTGGCCTGGGTGCTTGATGTAAATTACGTCATATGGAATGTACTTCCCTTTACCGATGCCATAACATTTCCAAACTCTCAGACCTTTATCTCCATATTCGAAGTTGTGGAAGCTACTAAAATGCTCAATCTTAGTTATACAGAGAGTGTTCTATGATTCGTCGACTATGCTCACTGCAGCTGTTGTTCCCTTCACTGGGTGTTGCGTCAATGCATCTCCCATGTCCACGGCAGTTAGAACATTGCGCCTTTCGTTGCAGTAAGCACGAATAGAGGACTTCATTGGACAGAGGATACGATCGCAAATGTCTTTACCAGACTGCGGCTCCGAGTAGTCATAACTATGAACTTCAACCCCAACTCCTTTTGTGACATCTCTTACAGCGGCTACTAGGGAGCTGTTTTGATAGCAACCGGCTTCATCTGACCTTAGATGGACTTTCTGCAGCAAAGGATTCTTTACTTTCAGCTGCTTTAGAAGATCTTCGAGAATTGACTTAACTGCATACCAGTCCTGAGTACACTGATCAAAGAGGTGAGCGTACGAGATGACTTCCGTCGTGTTAGACTTGCTTCGAGACACAACGCTACTAATGTGCCAACTTAACCCTCTTTTTCCGCACCAGTCACTTTGCTTCTCTCTATAGCGCAGCTGCAGAAACTTCATGGCCCAATCTATAACAAGAAGACACGAAGTCTGGTCAAGCTTTGCGATAATATCTTGCTTTGCACATTCCTGATTCACGGATCTCATAATGTGAGCTTTCCACTGGACGATAGCCTCCGAAGATTTCTGGATGTCGTACAACAAGTCATTTTTTTGGTCCTCGCTGTAAAAACTTAAGGTTTTGTTATCCTTAACAATCTGTTGCATATTCTGCAAAACGGAAGTAATCTCGTCGTATTGTGGGCAGAGAAGCGTGTGTTGATGTGAGCATTGTTCCTGGAAATCTGGATCGTTTGGATCGCTGAGACCAAACTTACGACAGTGGTTGGGACATTCGCTCTCATCTTCCTGGCAGTGACTCTGAAACTGGGTTTTGAGGTACATTTTACCCTCGCTGAGGGCTCTCCGCAGTTCGTCTGCCACGTTCTTTGCGAGCCCAATCTGATCAAGCTCGCCCACTATCCGGAGGAGTTGCGCGAACCCCGCCGACCCGTCAGCTGCTGTGTTATCCAGGCCGCTAAGGGACTTCTGTTGAGAGGCTTCCCTTACCTCGAGGATGAGAAATAGGGTTGAACGGCCAAGTGGTTCAAACTGTTCCTCTTCGCAGAACTGAAGGTACTGCTTGACCATTGTTGACCTTGTGACTTTGCGAATGACATTTGGCATTGTGATCTTCTCGCCACTGCTGAGCCTCAGTTTCCTCGTACTAAATGATACGTCTTGATAAAAGTACGGGCGATTCGCGAAGTCTAAGAAATGGTCAAGCTTTATTGGTGGCAATCGAACTCAATGACACGAGGACTTTTCGACCATAGAACCTGGACCACACCCTCTTACATGAGCTCTAGCGCGTCTAATTTGCCACTCGCTTAACTTTGAGTATGGCTCGTGGATTTTCGGAAGTGTCTTCACTGGATATCGATACGCATATAGGCTTAGAATTTGGGTCTTCAAGGTACTCGTCATGGCGTTGCTGTAGGCTTGCATCAACGGTACAAGGTCTAAGTAGCTAGTCCCTTTATCTGGTGTAAAACAGGCCTGAAATAGCTGTTGTCCAGCCTTCGGCGCTATGATGTCACAAACGAGAGTACAAGCTTCAGTAGCCTTGCCAATGCAAATCTCTTTCTCGTGTTCTTTTGCCTCCTCCCATGTACTTTTCAGCTGAAAGGTCAAGGGAATGACACGGCCAGCACCGGTTGCTACCGGGTTAAGTTTCTCCATGGCATCTGTAAACGCCGACATTGCTATCTCGCTGGTACTTTCAGCTGCCTCGTCGTCTCTAGAGCTCTGGCTGTCGGTCTCAGATCTGCATCCCAGAGTCCAATCAGCTGTAAGGGCATTTGGTTTCGGTTGAGGCGGCGTCGCGGCAGGTGTTGATGTGACTGTTGCAAGATTTAAAGCTGCCATTCGTTTGGCGAGTCTGGGAGTTGAGAAAATCAAACAAAAATTTGAAGTCCTCCCGCCATGTGATTGACTGCATAGTGTGTCCCCACTGAAATCTTTGCGCGCATTGTTGCGAAAGTAGAATTTGTTGCTGACGAAGAATGAGTTCTTCGTCAGCAATACGCGCAAATAATTCCGTTCGGTTCACTATCATCACCACCGCGTGCAATTGTATGGTACATTAATCAACCGTTTTCTCTTTTTAGGTCATCCAATTTAAAGCCAAAACACTATTTGTCACTTTTTTCAAACATGTTGCCCATTTTGGCCGCGCACCTGTAAACATAACTTACTTGCTGCATCAGCAATGTTGCGCAAAATGTTATAGTGTGTGGCCAAGCCGAAGAAAACAATTTTGCTAGCATGCAACATTTTAATTGAACATTTGTCGTTAAAAGTTCTTTAGGTGTCAATGCATATGATGGTCTGCTTTATTTATGGGATCAGGTAGCGTTACATCACCAGTAAGGTTCGTCCTCTTGCTGGTTACTTTCTTCGGGACGTTGCCCTTGCAAAAACGTCACGTCGTCTCCGCGAGTTTGATCTTGTGCAGCTTGTAACAAGATACGCAGATCACTGAAAAGCACGAAATACAACAATAATGCAAAACGATAATAACTAGAGCCATACTTATAGAAAACAAATAAAAATTGTTGCACTATAATCACGTGACCCCAGGGTACTCTCTTAATTTTAGGATAGCGGGTGTTTGCAAAGGTTGTTAAACTCTGACTCTATTTAGGGAAAATCGATGCCTGCTCGTTTTTACATCAGTAACACAAAAGGGCTTTGTGTAAATGTATAAATGTCAAAAACAGAAGGAATGTTATCTTGCATCGGCGTAAACATTGGTCTCAAATTACTCTCCAAGTTTATTTATCAAGTATCTCGCCTTGCGTGTATGACATAAAAAATGCTTTTGTAAACATGTAGATGTTAGAGATAAGGTAGGGCAGTAAAACCCAATGTATTACGCATTTTTCGTTGCAGTTGCTATGTTTCCCGATTATATACATAATTGACTAACGTTACAATTTTGTGGTTTTGGAAACTTAGGTTGTAGATTTCAAGTTTGCTTCAGAGCAATGTTATAAGTCGAAGTGTGATTTAAGTTATCAAGTTGCACTAGCTACCATGTGGTATCACGGTACGTATCTTGGGACGAAATCACAGCAGTTGTTTTGTTTTATACTCACTCGCGTGCGAGCTTTGGCCCAAATGTTAATCAAATTCCAAAGTACTGAATTCTGACATTTATCGCACCTCAATAAATGTGTAGATATTATCTTAATTTAAACCCTGCCCCTCATTTCAGGACAATACCTGGTTGGTAAGCTAGAATTTACATAAAAATCGTACTTACGGGAACCTTTTGGAACGAATTCTGAAAAGATAGTGTTAAATTCCCTTGACATGTCGAGATGAACTGCATTTCTTGTATTTAGCTGCTTTTTCCGGCCGTTGTGCAGCGGGTACTGGCAAGTGCGACGTGGTCGCCAGTTTTTACCCATCTTTCCTCTATGCTTTTCGCAGATCCAAAGTTCTTCAAGTTGATCAGGGGAAAGGTCGTGTGGTAACCCTGACCTGTTAATGATAAGCTCATATTCTTGTACCGTTCCTCTAAGCTGACCTAAGTGACATGCTTGTAGATGATCACTGCTATCACCTCTACATTTTTAAAGCTTTATCAACCTCGCTGAAGACTCGCCACAGACTGAAGCCTCTCTGGTCTCGAAAAAGCACTTGCATGCCATACTACACTTGCAGGCCTTCCAGAAAAAATAAAGGGTCAGCGGGTGCAATCGTTCAGCTTTAAATTCCAAATTTTAGCCCTCAAACTTCGACACATAGACTTACAAGTGGAGTTCTATGACTGATTCTTGAAGAGAATGCAGCTGCAATCCAAACTTTCAACCGGACTTTAAGCGCGAAACATGGCTTTAGTTTTCGAGTTTAGTTCGCAACAGCGAGTCAAAGAAGAGTATCGATAGATGCCGACCGCTGAAGTTTGCTGGAGTTATCATAAAGTTCACCAGTTTGGGGCGCGAGGAATATCTAAAATTTCACATAAACCCAAGATGCGACGAAGGTAAGCTGTGTTTATGACGAAATAGCTCTAGTGGTTCGATTTTGGTGTAGGCGAAAAAATCGCGTATGCTCGTACATGTGCTGATTCAAACGGTCATAACTTTTGAAAAATCGAAAACGCACCGGGGTTTTTGCATATTTTTGCCTATAAAGGTCTAAACTTAACGGCTGTGTAGAATAGAGTCGTCAACCAGGTCCCAAATCCCAAAACTAAACGTCTAAATCAAGGTTATTTACCCAAGAGCTGGGTCATTAGCTGATTTTGTTGGGCCTGGGCGGTTTGCATCCCCTCGATGGCTCGACTCAAGGCGCCACCCTCGCCTGAGAGCTTTTTCATTACATCCCTGAAGCCTTCCTCCTCTGAGTCGCTTTCAGCCGCTCTCGTGCGCTTTCGTCGGTTTTTGCGCTCTTTGCGGCGTGTGGTCTCGGCACTCGACTCCGAGTTTGTCGAACTGGAGGTAGCGGGCGAAGGAGTAGAGCTTCCCTCTGGTGTTTGCTCGGCATCTAGCACTGGCTCCGGCGTGGTGATCCCGACTTGCCTCAGCTTATTGCAGGTTATTACATCCCTGCAGCCTAACACCGCGTCTATGGCATCGTAGTGGGGGCTCTTTTGAATATTTCCCCCACTGTTTGCGGTTCCAGTCTTTCTTTTCTTTGTATAGATTGTTGAGGTGCTTCAGCTTGCGCTGGCACTGATCTACTGTTTATGTGATGCCTTGTTTATCGTTCAAAGCTCTAACAATTTCATCCCAAGCTTTCCTACTGTCCTTGCTTTCCAGGCGGTCGATATTATCGGCCCATAACTGGACCAGGACAGCCTCGTCTCTTGTTTGCCAACGCTCGCGGCTCTTCTGAGTGGAAGGTCCGGGCTTTGATGGCTCAGTTGGGAGCGATGGCGATGGCGATGGCGTTTGTACTGTGGAATTAAACTGCTCTGCTCCTTGCTGCATACCATGACTTGAAGAATAATAAAACCCAGGAAATTGGAGAAATTCCCTCGAGCCACTTCCAGGAAAGTTCAATGGAGACCCGGGCTGGTAAGGAGAGTACTGGTTAAAAGAATAAAGGGGTAAGTTTCTAAAGAAACTGTGGTGCTGCGTCGGTGGGAGAGTATAGCAGGTAATTTAGTATTAACAACTGGGTTGAAAACGTAAATTAGCCACCGTAAAGGGTAAAAAAGCTGACGTTTCGAGCGTTAGCCCTTCGTCGGAGCGATTGCTAACGCTCGAAACGTCAGCTTTTTTACCCTTTACGGTGGCTAATTTACGTTTTCAACCCAGTCGTTAACACTAAATTACCTGCTATACTGGTTAAAAGGATCGTTTGGGTATCTGTTCTGTTATATCTATGTTGAGCTGAAAGTGCGGTCTTAATCCTCACTTTTTCGCTCTATAGATGACTGGCTCTTGTTCGTCTGCCGCTCCGCGGCCTGCCCCTGCGGAGCCTGGCCAAAGGCTTAACCAAAGGTCTTCATTATCTCTCACCATCTCACACGATAAAATCATCTTTATCTTCATTTGACGATTCTCTCTAATTATCCTCAAGACTTTTGGTTTGACTTTTTCCATGAACTCTCTATCCAATACCTACAATTCCCTCAATTCTATATCGCCTTGTAAAACCTCTTAACGTCCAACGCTTTATTAGCAGAGTATTTCGTTCTTCTTCTTATAATTTTTAAGTTGCGGTTGACTTCTCTGAGCGTCTTATTTAATCCTTTGATCTTACTTTCATTTTCTTTTGGAGTTAAAAGAATTAGTCTTTCAATCTTTTTCGTTCTCGGCGGAGGAATTGGTTTTTGAACATTAAAAGCTGTACCATGAATGTTTTTCGTTTTTTGTATTTTTGCTGCCGCTCTTAGGAGGTTCTTTGAAGTGAACTGTGTAATCATTGGAATCTGCAATAATTGTCGACACAACCTCTTTAATTATAAACGCAAGAAAAAGTTTTGCGTAATAAAGCTAAGACAAAAGCCTAGAACGACTTCAAAACAAGATATACAAATGGAGACTTGAGTAAGTTCAGTGCGCAAGTGCTGAAGTTTACCTCAGTCGATCAGATGGAGTTCAGTCGAGCGTCTCAGGGTCAGACAAAAGATATTGGGATGATGACATGAAGAAGGCACTTAGAATTGGAGGTTTGAAAGTTTGAACTTGAACTCACTCTGAATCGATGAGGAAAGAAAGAGGTGGCAGCAGTTTCATTGAACAAGAATCCTGTGAGCCGCTTAAATGAGGAGATTAAGGTACATTATCCTAATACTTCGACGCAAAATTCAGAGGAATATCCACAAGAACGAAAAATTTAGCCCTTTTCAGGCGCAGAATCAGAGATGGCTTGCGGGGCCAAATATGAGCTACTGGCCTCGAGAGCGCTTCGCAGTATGATGCACAACAACAGGCTGTGGAATCTCTTGTGAAGAGTAAATCAGCTCTTCCAGGAGACCCAGCGTTCAATCAGACAAACAATAATTATGAAACCCCTTCGTTCAAACAAATATGCGCAGAATTTGGAATTTCTTCAAGTACAGACTTCTGCTTCAAAGGTTACAATCACGATCTTGGTTTCTGTTTTCATTCATGTGACAAATCTTGGACGGTCGGGAACTTCAAACTCTTATCTTGATAATAACAAGTTTAGCTATGAGCTTGGAAAAGCCATCTAAGGAAATCTGATTTATTTCATAATGAATGATAAAGTGAAAGTTAAAAAAGTTTGACTTTTTCATAGCAGACAAGTCAGAGGGCTTGACGCAAGCTGGGATGGCGAGACTGAATCAGTCAATTGAGGCATTCGTTTACTGCATTCTTGGTTCTCAAGTCAATGTTAGATCAAGAGAGATAGGAAAATGACAGTTCCGAGACAATGCAAAACCAAGGATAAAAAAGTTTTTTGGGTCAAGAACGGACCACTTTTTATCCTTGGTTTTGTATTGTCCCAGAACTCTAATTTTACAACTACGACTGAGACAAGCGCAGAAATGTCATATAACAATTATGATATAATAACTTGTCAATCTTTAGTATCAGAACGAATTTAGATAATTTCAAACATTTGACAGGATCAGCGTCAATGTTGTATCTTCACGCAAAGAACTCGTGATATGCCTTGATTTGTTCTTCTGTTAAAACACTGTTTTCTCAAATGAGGAGAGTATGACAGTTTCATTATGAGTTCACGCTTTTAAGCTCATGGTTCATGATGATGAGCTGAGCATCAGGGAGGATTTTCCTGGACTCCCTTCTTTCGTATCCACCAATCTCATTCCACTTCCATGAGGATCATCGTCTCTCATACTCTTGAGATCGATGAATAGAGAGAATCTGTCTCCAGCATAAAATTCTGTTGCCTTTATCGCACTGTTTTCCTTACCAAATCTTCTGAAGACCTCTTCCCACATATCTCTTGTCTTCATTCCTTGGCTGTAAATCTTATCTGGGATTCCATCGACAACCACCTTCATTTCAGTGATGTCAGGATTGAGTGTAGAATCGGAGTTTGGATTTGATACTATGTTGCTAACAGAAAGGCTGGACGTGTGGCTGCCGACGCTCACGTTCTTTTGGGAGACGAAAATATACCATATTCTATTGCCAATACGAAGCGAAGTCTGTTTAAAATTCCTTTAGAATTCAAATGTTTTAATATATTGATAGCAGACCAAGGTAATGCATGTGTGCTATTATTATTTTGGTAATGGTGTTTTGTACAACTTAATTCCTCAAGTATCTGTGTGCCGGTTCAGGGTTGAATACCCGTCAAGAATACAATTTCCTAGCCCTAGAGAAAGCATTCCTTTTTCTCTAAAACATACCTACAAAGTCGAAGCTAACCGATATGTAATTACGTTATTACTTGTAATAAGTAATAAGGAGCTCTGCGAACACAATTTTTTTTGATAATATCACGCGATAGAGAACCTTAGAATATTGGTTGAGTTATGATTATTTTCCATATTCTCATTGGTAAGGATTACTGAGATAGTGAATGATCACATGCGATGTAATGGAGGAACTTACAATCGATTCCATTAGTTTACCAGGAACACTGAATAATGAAATAGGGTGGTAGTTGCATTTGTCGGTCTCATCGTCTTTTTCTTTTTTGTACATGGGTACAACATCAGCTGTTTTCCACATGGTAGGAACTAGGAACAACGTTGCGGTTAGCGCTTACTTTAAACACAGACAGCAACGAAGGAATAATAGCTGTATTGGCCAGCTTGAACAATTTTGGTGGGACTTCATTAGGACTACAAGAAGTATTGGACTTTAATTTTGCTAAGGCATGAGTAATGTTTTCTGCGGTGAGACTAATACTCGAAATTGTGGATGTGATAGTGCGGGTCTGATTGGAGCGCCATCATGATAAAGTGGTGGCCATTCATGGGAAATTTGTCCGCCTATCGTAAAGAAGTGGTCATTTAGGTGGTCGGCTTTTTTAAAATCAGAGATTGCCAGAAACTTGTCCTCTTTCCTGGTGTTATTGATATGTGAGCTGATGCCCGCCTCAATGGCATTCTTGATGGAATTGGTATCCTTTACCTCATCAAAAAGATTCTTGTAGTTATTACATCTAGCAATTCTAACCTCGTGTGTCTTGATTCCTTAGTACCCTGTATTTTGTCCACAACTTCTAATCATTGGAGTTTCGTGCTTTCAGCAGAGTTTTAAATCTGATGTTAATCTGCAGTGATTCAAGGAAACGATTGTTGTCTTAGTTTTACTTCCCGGAAAGGAGCGTTCTTGTCACAGGTTCACTCAACACTTTTTGTCATGTCCAGCATCAGGGTCATCAAACACGGAAAAAACTGACCAAGAAGCAGTCTCAAGGTCGTGCGTGAACGTAGATCGGTCGAAATGACTGTAGCTTCGAACAGAGTGAATGACAAAGGGCTAACGCTCGAAACGTCAGTTTTGAAATTCTTTACGGCGGGTGGCTATTTCAAATTATCTTCAAAGACATTTCACCATGCCTAGCATTCCGGTCATCAAACACGGAACAAATTGAACAGTGAGCAGTCTCGAAGTCGTGCGTGAACGTAGATTGGTCGAAATTTCTGTAGCAGAACGAATGACAAAGGGCTAATGCTCAAAACGACAGTTTTAAAATTCGTTATGGTGGCTAATTTGCATCATAAACTCAGTGTATAAAAACCAAATTATCTTGTTATACTCCCCCACCGACGCAGCACCGCAGGCTCTTTAGAAACTTACCCCTTTGTTTATTTGTTTTAGAGAAAGTTTATTTCCGAATGGCCTTTTCCCGCTTATTACGTGAATCGAGTTCTTCACCAGGACACAACCAGGTTTATAGCAGTTTTAAACACAAAGAAGAGTTAATTTATTTGAACTTTAATGGATGAAGCAAACGGCGTTACATACATTGTAACACATAAATGCCCTTAATACTAAAAAAGTAGCTACTGGGGAAACTCCAGGCTACCTCCAATCATCAAGATCACTTTTTCTATTCCGCTATTGACCATATATAACCAAAATATTCAATTATAAAATTTACTTTATACCTCGGTTGCAGAATTATGAATTTACAGATACCTGAAACAAAGAATTCTTAAATACATACTACAAATGTTTGAATACAAAATTAAAGAGATCTTAAAATAATTATCATTAACCTGTAAGATCTATAATGCAGAGGTCAAAATACGTTTTGAAAATAGCATCAGTTATAAAACCGGCATGCATCATATGAGGTTTTTAAAATTGCGTCCTAGTGATAAATAATGTCAATTGGATTTTGTGTCGCATTGTTTCTATTTCATGGTACATAAAACAATTACTTCCAAATGCTAGTAAAATATGCAAAATTTAAAAACAAAATCAGCTTAACTTACTTGTACTGAAACTAAGAAAATAGTTGTAAAAAATGAAAAAAAAATCCCTGCAGCCTTTTTCCAAAGAATTGTTTACTTTTCCCTCTGAAGGAATCCGTCACTCTAATCTAAACTTCAATTTAAAGATGACAGGTCAATGAAAACTGGCAAACCATATGAAAATAAAGAATTCTTTTCTCAACAGAATACTCGTTTTCTTTGTGAAAATTAGTTTTTAAAAACCATTTAAGTCTAGTTACTGAAGGTTTTATCATCAACCATTTTCGTTTCATTTACCTACTAAGCCTTGCTCGTTAAAAGTCATCATTTCTACTAGGTCTTTGATTTCTACACTATTAACTAGGCTAAAACGGGCATTTTCTTCCCTTCTTTGATATGACTTAAGATAAATTTTATTGTTCTTTATTCATCAACCTCTTCTAACTACTTTACAGTTCCTACGTTTGTAATTTCATAGTTTTATTTCCGTTTCTCATGGCACAATAGTTGCTTCGCTACCAGTAATTATATATTTGATGGTGAGGATACTTTTATTTCAAATTATTTCATGGTTTTCACCTCGATTCAGACTCGTTTTTGGGAAAACTTTCTTGGTTAAGACAGACGTTTCTTCGAATTAATTTGGTTGGGTGCAACCACGTAAATGGTAAGAAAATATCAAATGTATGGCGTAGTCTACAATACTATTAAGGATAGCTAGCGTTGCGTGTATGCTTAAGCTTGTTAATCGTATGGAAATTACGTTTAATTTCTTTTCTCCGGCTACAACCTTTGTGAAAAACAAAGCTTAAGCTTTTGTGCTTAAATCAGCTTTGAAAGCCCACAAACTCGCCCTCAGACCTAGCATAGTTAATCATTGTTATTCTTTACTAGTATTTACTGCTAGTGAAAATTAATGCAGTTATGTCTTACTGAGTGTATAAATAAAGATGCTTGCTCAGACCGTGTGTTGTCTGTGGGAGGGAAACAAATTAAAAACAATTAAAGTAAAAGGAAAACTAATGCACCCACTCTACACAAGGCTTTCTTTTCAAACGTCATTGATATAATATTTTATCCCAAAGATATATCTTACCTTTTTCTTAAGTAGAAATAAAGTAGCATTTTCTAAGTGAAGTGATCTATAAATATTTCATACATTTCTTGCATGGTGGAAAATGGTAATAGTTAGCTCGAAAGATATTGCCTCAAGGCATAAAAAAGATATTAGTTTTGGGATAGTTGGAGGGAAAGCAATCTAGTCAGTCTTGATTCGTATGTGGTATGGTGTAATTATCGAAACTGAAAAAAGATTAGTTAATGATAGTCTTCAAGAACAGTCCAAAAACATTAGGATATTACACTTTTTGTGAGATCTAGCTGTGGTGCTACCATTAATTTTCATTAATTGTTACCTTTTTTGGAGGAAGTCCTTAACCAGGCACTTTTTTTCTCGTGTAGATGATGCCCACACAGGTTCTAATAACTTATAAACCTTACACTCTGAGATAGCGAATAACATGCATAAATAAAGCAAAAAATATTATTATACATTTGTACGAGCTAGAATAAGTGAAAAGGTGTAACTTATCAAATTCAGAGATGATGTTTGCGTGGCAGATAGTTTTCAAGTCACCGAACGAGGTAAACGTGCATACAAGTTAAAGCCTATTAAAATTACAAAAGGATGGACAATTTCAAAAATACTTGAATAGCAAATCATTGTGAGAGCAATTTATTGTACTCAATCGTGACGTCGTCACTGACCCCTTTGCTACGAAATTTTAAATGTAAAAAGTCTTCTTGACAAATTTTGAAGAAGTACGTTTATAGAACCTTTAAAAATCTTGAGCAAATAATCTGTTTTGTACAAAACAAAAATTGTAACGAATGTAACATCTAAAGCCAATTAGCATGTTGTGCGTGTGAAATTACTTTGATATAGTTTGGGTCATCGGGTCTCAGGTGTAACTGGTAAAAATGGTACAAATTGCAAGTGTTCTGATATGCTTTAAAGTTTGAAGCCTAATTAGAACAGTATCTTTTTTCCCAGCAGCGCACGATTGTCACTTTCTGCCACGCGAACAAGCAACCCTTAAATTGTATGAATTGATATTTCTCAAACTGATTTTATCATCTTCTAAAACTAAATGTTTCCAAAATTAAACTCATTTCATATATTATTTGAAGTAAATATAAAATCTATAAAAAAGTTCTGCCCTTTTGAACAAAAGATAAAAGATAATAGCTTTATCCTCTCGAAACAAAGTAGAATGATTTCTCCGTTTCAATTTATCACTGTGTTATTCATTATCCAACATCGATAGTACGGTTTAAAAAACCAATCATTATTTCTCATCACAATTGTGTTGTTTTGAAATAACGGAAACAAAAAATATACAGGCTATTTAATCCATTTCAATCCGATTGTCGTGATGTCTTGGTTTTGCACTCCGGCTCAGTGAAGAATTTGCATACCGCCCCCCATCCTCCCCACCCCGCCCCTTCTTTATTTGACTTAGAAGTAATTTTTTTTTGTTTGTTTGTTCGTTTTTAACAGTAGTCCTGCCCATATCTAAAACTATTTCAACAATGGTAATTCTCCCATGAGTCATTACTAAACATTCTACAAAATTAAACTCCAGAAAAAAAATTCCCTCTTCGCACCAAGGCATACTCTTTGCGTAAGTTTACAACTTATCTTTCTTCGCTGAAATTTAATTTTGCTTTTCAGCTGGTATTTACAATTCTATTGGCAATAATATTTTAATTTCATGTAGTTGTAATTCGTTAAATAAAATAACTCTACTCGTTCAAAGTATGCAATTTTCTCTTCGGTTAAAAAATTAAAATTTAGTACTCGATAAAAGTGTTAAACTACTAAAATGGAAAAGGAAACCTCCCGCACATTCCGAAATATTCTTGAAAAATTCTTCACTTTCAAATTGAAGTTAATTGTGAAATTTAAACGCATAAACTGAGAGTCCACTCGGCGTTGTGGAGTGAATTTCTACCAAGCAAAATGCTTCCTTCGTAAACGACAACCTCGGTTACCTGACACCAATTCTATTATATACTTTCCTCTCACTAACTCAACTCCAATTAACATTTACATCATAGACCACACAGTAGTGAAGAAGTAAGAGAGAAAGGAAAGACAAAGCATACCTGAGTTTACTAATCACAACAATTTGATTAAGCAGATTTTTTCATCCAATTCAAGATGGTATTTGCTCTCTAACTGGGTAAAGAAATTCTTATCAACTTGGAATCAAGTTGATATTTACTTGAATTAACTATATTTCTTTACCACCTAAATGGAACGGTTCTTGGTCGGTCAGCGCCTTCCTTGACCAGAGGCTTGTGAAATTCCCGCCCTTGCCTGGAGTGTATGAGTGCCCAGCACTGTTCGCAATAGTACTGCAGGCACGTGACATTTGCGCAAAAAAATGGTGCAAATTTACCTGCGCACCGGGCGCCATGACACTCGTCACACAACTGATCATCCAAAACATATGGCTTGACTTCAACCTGGAAAGTGATATGAAACTGTGTTATTGATAAGAAAGGCTATTGCACATTCTAATGGAGTAAAATAAAAAATGGGACTAAAGCTATTTTTATTTAAAACCTACAACTATCAACACAGCTAACTAAGATATCTTAGAAAGAGTTATAATATTAATATATATAATATTAGAGGGGTTTGAGAAATAAGGTATTCCAAGACTTTTTTGCTCAGGTATACGGTATTCTCTCATGATAGTGATTTGTCTTTTTATCACAGGTAGTAATTCGGCATTTAGTGGATGACCAGAAACTAATAATAGTTATTCCCGAATGAAAAACAGTTGGGTGTTAACACTAATTCAAGTGGGCAAAGTAGTTTTTCCGACCTCCGCTATTGGGAACGATGGTATAAGGAGATGTAATATCAACAGTGAAAATAGGTTTGTCTTGGCCCAAAATCGCAAAAAATTGACTAACATGACATGACTAACAATGTCAGTCGAAAGGCTTACTCTTTTATCTATGTCGCCATGTTGCAGCTGCACAAATCTGGCACTGATAGCGGCAATATAACTTTGTTGATTGGAGAAGGCCACTCGACCAGCACCTTAAATGTAAAGCAAAATGTAATATGTCAAAAGCTGAACAGCAGCTCCTTATCTGTTGACGTTGCAATTTGTTCGATATTCGTAATTTTGCATATGCACGCTTTGTAAAATTGCTCTATTGTCTTCGCTATTTTTTTCGTTTTGCATGTAATCCTTTTCCTAAATGTCGTTTTACTAACCCAGTTAGCTGATTCGAATTTTGAAAAAATCTTTCTTCGAGTTTATGCAACTTTTCATTACTGAAACGTAACAACTGCGTTAAGCTAAGTAACTCTTACCCTTAGGATATTTCAGTTCAGGATCTACATCTATCCCAGCATAACAGACTCCTCCATACAGCCGATCCATTATCATGGCCAGCTCTATTGCTCTCAATGGGCGAGGCACTCCACCGACAAAAATTGTTTTCCTCGGGTCAAGTGGATGTGAACCGTCCATGACAAAATCTGAATCATTCAGATTCCAAGGTCTTATCTGAACCTGTAGTTTCAAACGAAATTAGTTTTTTTTCATACATTCACAATTTTTTCTTGAAGGGGGAAGGGGGAAAGAAATTAATTTTAAATCACATCCGCTATATTAATTTAACATAGGTCTTTGTAGGCTCTAGGCAACTAGGTTAATCAGAATTTAAAAAAATTTATAACATCGTACTAACCGATCATAAGGGCCGTACAGGGGAAGATTTGCCGGAGGTCGTAGGAGTACGGACTGAGCGCAGCGACGTCCGTTCAAAAGCGACCTTGGGCCAATATTCTCCAGTACAGCTGAAGCAAGTTACGTCAGTAAGTAGTTTCATATGTGGCACCCGGACCTAACCTGTTTAGTTTGAATTTGCCGGCTATCGCGACCAAAAATACATGGCTTATGGCCGTTTCTGTGGAAACGGTCAGCATAACATAATACGGAGTAAGAACCAATAAGGATGTTCGGAAATAACTCAAGACACCTTGCTAAAAAATAAAATGTTAAATTCCAAATTAAGAGTTCTCCTGTCTTCCATCCGAGTTAGAGTAATGATAGGGACACAGAGAAAAGGAACTCACGGGTTTGTCTTTAATAGTAGGACTGGACACACACAGGTAGAGTTTGTCATCTTGCTGGAAGCAGGCGTCGATTAGTTTCTGCACCGATTGCTCCTCCAGGTACAGCAGAAATGCATAACCTGTGGAAGAAATGGATTTTATTATAAAAATTGACGTTAAAAAGCGCGACGTTTCTTATCCCGATACTTTTTTAGAGAATACCATCAGACATTTTATTGAAATGAAAGTCACTGTACTAAACGACAAGTATGCGATGAACACGATGCTCCTATCAGAGTTGTCCTACCGTTCAAAGACCAGAAAGCAGCAAATGCGGTAAGACACCAACTCGGTGATCTCAGCCGAAAGATTGTTGCCGATGTCCAGCCCGTTTACACAAGTCAGGAGATCAAGGACGATTGCAGCCGAAGGAACACAAAAACCTCCAATTGTTAATCTAACATTTAACATTTAACACTTATATAGCGCTTATCCGCATGCGTTCTAAGCGCTTTACATCCATTGTATTACAGTATGACTCAGAAATATAAAAACAAAAGATTAAGTTATCTAATTTAGATTAAAAGCGCATTTAAAAAGGTGTGTTTTCAGTTTAGATTTAAAAATATTCAAACTGGGCGAAGACTTGACTTCTAAAGGTAAGGAGTTCCATAAAAAGGGAGCAGCTACTGTAAAAGTTCTAAAACCATAAGACCTAAGGTTCCATTTGTGTTGTTTTTTAAAAGAAATGCAGAATAGTAATCAACAAAACTTTGTTTATTATCATAAGTGCAGTCTGTGTGATGCAAAAAAGTATTTACCTAATCGATTCACTTTTAATGTTTCTTTCGCCTTAGCGTTTTTCATCACTCTTGCCGCAGTTTTCGTAAGTATCTCATTAGCATTTTTACAATTAATTATAGAAGCGCATGATAAAATTCTTTATCCTTCAACTTAAAAATGACTGTTGAGCGGTCGAAACGTCGTTCCTTTTTCATATGGAAGAAATGTTTTGATATAGGCGTTATGGTAATTTAAAAGAACCTTCAACATTACAGCGCGAAGTCGTGAAGTAGGAATAAAAGTAGTGCGTTAGAGTTGTCGTGTGTTCTTATTGGAAGGCCTGAATTAAAAAAGAAGTTCACCTAATAAGCTTACCTTTGGGAGGAAAGTATGACTTGCTCTCTGCTTTGTGAGGCCAATCTACAGTCAAACTACCAAACCGACAGAAACTGGCGTGAATCTCATCTATAAAATAATACATAAGACTTGCAGCTGAAGCTAATCAAAATGTCTCTACTGACCAAGTATCTGGACACTACTAAATCTCGGCCCTTTTAGGTTAATGAGAGTTTCCAGGTAGCAGCAGTGCTACTTTTATCGAAGTTAAGCCAAGTCGCCCTTAAGAAGCCCTTCTTTCATTTACTGACGCAACCCTCAAGGGGCAGAGGTGCCCCAAATTCCAAAGACTATTTGCTAGTTTAGTATCTTTAGCTAAAGCCATGACGAGTACTGACATATTCAGAAACGGGTTTCCTATAGCATTTGTATCTTGTTTTACCAAGTGGCCGTAAACATTGGAACAAGTTTTTAAGTTCTTCTTCATCCATTGACTTTTATCCGTTGAAATACTTCCTACTGCTGAAATGATAATTTGTGCTATGAATGAGAATATTTTTTAACAGAATACGTGTTGGTTCATGGACTTGACTTGTTCAGTTGGACCCTTTTGAAACGATGAAGAAATAGATGAAAGAACGCTCTACCTGAAGTAAAGTGACGGGTTTCGATTGAATCAATTTTTCTTACTGAACATTTTATATAAAATACGACTAAATGATCTCGACAATTTAGTTATCAAGGCCTCAGTCTGAGAGTATCCCTTAACGACCTTACTCTAGTTAATGAGTAGTTAATAGCCTGTGCACAAGCATAAAATGTTTTCATACCTTCATCAATATCTGGAGGCAGTCCTCCAACAAATACTTTCCTCGAGTAACGCTCGATATGATCCGGCAAATCCGATGTTGGAGAGCAACTAAGAGACCATATTGATGGTACAATTTGATCTATGAGCAAAAATAAATAAATTTCCCGTACACTTGTTAATAAAATATAAATCTTGAAAAAGGTTAGCTGCAGAAGTTTACCCCGGGTAAGGAAGCCCTGTAGGGTTTTTGCTCAATGTTGGCGCGCGCGCCTGCGTAATGTTTTTCTAGGAAATGTTTATGTTTTTGCTTTTCAAGGTCACTAAAAGCCATCAAAAGGCGATGAGCAAGGTTCGGACTATTGTTTGCTGTTGTAAATATTATCAAACTGATTTTCGTTATTAAGCTAAGGCTCCACGAAGGGAAGCGCTCGTCGCCGACAATTTGGCCTTGCCCCTGATTTTCTTCTATCTCTCAAAATTTTTACAATTTGTGAATTTTTTTCTGCCGATCATTTAAAAGCCGAAAAAAATAGGGGTTTCAGAGGACGTTTCCTCGCTATTTGCAATTTTGTATGTTCCTCCTCTATCTCAAATTTGGTCATGATGTTCTTTTTATCAACAAGCAAACAGTTCAGCAAATCTTAAGAAATTCCATCGAAGGAAACGCGATAAATCTTGCTCGAAAGACTCCTATTTTCTTTGTCGCATAACTTTACGTCATGGAATAAAAGTTCGCCAAGATCTATATCTGAGCATGCGTAAACTTTTGGCAATCTTTCCCACGGTGTTTTCTTTTCAGTTGACTTCTTTTGTACAGGGCCTATGAAAATTACGGGTGCAGTTGCTGGAAACACTAGATTCCATCACACAAAAACTGTGTGGAGTTAAACTGTTTTTAACTCACCTCACCAAGATCTCGCGCGGTTAAAAAACCCTATGGAGCCTCCTATGCTTAACACATGTTATAAGTGTTTCTATCCCACGAAGGCGGATTTCGCAGTAATGAACATTACCTAGGCAGCAGTGAAAATAAGGCCCGAAGAAAAAATCAGGCCTGTACGGGATTTGAACCCCTGACCTCTGCGATACCGGTGCAGCACTCTACCAAATAAGCCAATAAGCCAACTAGGAACTGGTCCTTGTGTTGGTTCCATGACATTGTTCATTATGTTGTTGGTAGAGCTAACATTTTTTAATATCAATTTTTTTTTCACAATGTTATCCCGTTAGTTCTACGCAATTTAAAAACTGCGTAAAATTAACGGCATTGTTACAAGCTCAGAATAACTGAAATCAAGCTTGTTAAGCCACGTCATTATCATGTTGTCACTTTTCGTTCCCATGTAAGTTATATATCTCAGATTTCTGAGATACATAACTTACTTGATAACAGATGAAATTTTTTTCAATTCAGTTTTGGAGAAATTTGGTCGCCTTATCCTCTTTTCAAGGCGACATAATTTGAAACTAACGGGCGTACTTTTTGTTAAATTGCATATTTGCAATTTTTTTCAATCATTGCAGCAGGATAATATCTATTTTTTCAAGAATTGTTACAGTAGATATTTGGAAGAGAAAAAGCTTCTTTTTTATTATTTAAGTATATTTCCAAAAATTTTTCATCATATCGGGACTATACAGTCTGACGAAACATGGGCTGCCGTGAACGCAGGTTAACCAATTAGATGATGCTTACTGTGTACGGTTAAATTACAAAATAAAATCGTTTAATTATTTACCTCCTGCGTGAGAAATTCCTTTCTTTTGCAGATGATACTTGAAGGCTGAAATGCAGAAAAGATAGAAGATCTCGTTAGTATTCACATGGCCATGCTTAAGAAAGGCCACCATGTGCTCAAATAATGCCTAAATTGTCGATATAATGCCTAAAATGCAAAGTTGCTAAAAAGTTTTGAAACGTTTCCTTTGAGATTTTCAAGTAGTTTATGTTTATTTTTTATGAAAGAATTAGCCAAATTTCAAGCTGGCGCCGAACTTTGTCAACGTATTTTTTTGGAAACTTTGCAAAGAGCTGTGGTAGATTGCAGTTGAGAAAAAAACAAATAGGAATCATTGACCTCGTTCTTGTTTTAAGGACGCATTATGCAAAAAGTAAGGGCGTTTACAAGAGCCTGTAATGTTACTCTGGTAAACGTGCTTGTTTGAAAATTGATGAATACGTGTTGATAAACAATCGAGAATTTTTATGCAAACTCAAGGGAAGCAAATGTGGAAGCTGCTAACCATCATTTCGAACCAATTTGATTCAACTGAGCGGAAGTCGCTCTTTGCAATCAGAAAATGCCCCCGTTCACCTACTCATTTACCGATTCACCGATTCGAGCTTAGGGTCAAACTGTAAATGTGACATGGGTCAACTATCGAGTATTCATTTAACAAAACTTGTCACATATATATGGATTAGATAATCATTTTTTGTGTTCTGATTGGACCAATCAGTTACAGTTATCAGCTCATATGCCGAGCCATCCTAAAATGGAAAATAGTCAAATCAAGCGTTGTTAAGCTGAATCATATTTTAGGCGGAAGCAAACGCTTCTCCTGAGCGGTGGAAATTAAGTAAAACAGATGCTAGTCAATGTTATCACGGTAACAAAAAGAAAATCAAAAGAGTCTGATAAAGCTCTATTTGATAGTAGGTATAGTTGAAGTTTCAGTGATAAAACGTTGCACCTGGCACTAGCGTTATCTAGTCTACAAAAAGATAGAGCACAACAAAGAGAACAGCCGGTTACCTCCAAAACTTTGGGATAACTTACAAACTTTGCCTTAAAATATCTAAGCTAGACCAGGACCTTTATTTACATCAGCTTATCTGTAAACTACGTTCAGGCAGCCATGACTTTGGTTTTTTTCCCTTGGCTACCACATGACAAAACATTTGTGAATTAACACAACGCTTCAGAATAAGCTTGAAGTTCTACAAAGTGAACCGAATACTAATCTCAATCTGTAACTTGTTACTCCTACACTTGGATCGAGACCCAGAGTTGAAGACATTTAAACGAAAACTGTCTTCAATCTCTTCCTTCGCTCGGTTCCACAAACCAAAACAGTTTTCGAACCCAGACAGTTTTGAATGCTTTTGCGGAAGTGTTCTAGCTCGTACCCTTGAACTTTTTTCGGATTAAAAATTTCTTCATTTCACTTAGCTATTCAGGTCCGGCTGGGTAAACTGCTTTTAGCGTTGGATTTTGTTTAGCTCCGGTCCTATAGTATTACACATTTCATGTGATTATTTTGCCGCTTTGGCGGTCGGATGCAACATCGACTTACGGAAATTTTAATTTGAAAAAAACTTTGAGAGTGAAAACAAATTTAATAAAACTGAATCATTCCATTCCTGCTTGTTGGATACGATATTGACTCATATCCCATACGTGCTCCTGGAGTTATCAAAAACTATCCATTTTCATTAAAAATGATTGTTACAGTACTGTAGTGTCTCAACTTGACATAAGAAATTATGTCTGATACTCAAGAATCAACGTCTCAACGTTAATGTTTACAGAAAAGCACCCATGGCCTCCTGTTGAATTAAAACTGAAATGTTTTGGAATGCACTATGCAGAATACTTCAGTCTCCGTCGTCGTTGATCGTCATCGTCATCGTGAGTGAATTGCACCCGCCTGTCGAGTTTTTTTTTCTTTTCAGAAACGTTTTCTTAGTCGTAAAGCAATCAACTCAATAACCAAGAGGGACGTTCTTTAGGTAAAATCTAAAATCTCCAACTTCGGCCTTGTTACAGTGATCTTGCACGGTGATTACGGCCCCGGTTCAAGATTTCCCTGTAACGACCTTCCTCTATGTTATTATGTAGTTAATGTCGTTAATATTTGACGATTTATTGATGATGGCATATATCGAGGCGCACGTTATGAACTTTTGCTTTCTTCACAAGAGGTGTAATCAGAAAAACGAAATGATGATTACTATATCTGACTTCTTGGACGTAATCCACAAAATCAACTTAACCTGAATCGATATTTTGAGATGTATAATGGCGTTTTTTGACTATCCCTCTTTATGGCATCATTCCATCTATCAACGCTCGTTTACCATGTTTCTCGTTCTGGGCCCACAGTTTACGTTTGTTATTCTTAATTACAAAGCCTCTTAAAATCGTTTTTATTTTTAATAGACCGTAAGCTCATTTAAGAACCAAATTGCACTAAATATATGACAGTTTGGGAAACAATCTAAGGTCATAACGCTAACGATTACAAAATCGATTGTTCATTCACAAGTAAGAGTCACCGCTTTTAGTTACTTCTTTGTGGCAATGATTTCATGCAAGAAATTTGTAGGCATAATCTCAATTAAATTTAATTAACATTAAAGTTAACGGAGATTATGCCCACGAATTTCTTGCATGAAATCATTTCCACATTTTTTCCGTTTTCTGCAAAAATATCTTTCTTGGAGACATTACATTCATCACAAGATGATTGGCACATATCCTGGCCTTAATCAGGTCAATTTAGACACCAGATTTGAGACTAGTGAACATGGTTTGTTTTAACTTAATGAATTGCTTAAAGTCTTTATTACAAGCGGCAAAATTTAAGTACAACGTTACCCTTTCATCAGACAGATATTTTAACTTTTCCTCATAAATAATGCTCTCGATTTCAAAAGAGTAGGGCAATCGCTCCTTATGAAGAAGTGGAATGTATTTTAAGTAGGACGCAGGCTTTTGGAACAGAGCAGTCTAAACACATTTATGAACGCCAGTAGTATCCTCCCGAAATTAAAATTAAAAATGATTATGATGTATCATAATTTCTCAGCTTAGTTGGTTTATGAAGAAACGCATGAAAGAGAAGGTTTTTTGCCACACAAGTGCACATGTCTGTGAAATAAAGTGCAAACAAATGTTGAAGAGCAACTTCGCAGAGCAGCAATTCAGTTTGACTTGGTTGGAAGTCAAAGGAAAGTGTTGAAATAAATTTGCATCGAGTATCGTGCTGACTTAAAAACTTGTTAACGAGTCTCAATTCGCAATACAAATGAGCATTTTTGGTCGATTTTAGCCAGACGTTACTAAGGTTGTCTGAAATGGCCAAGGGGTCTCTAAGGATATTCACCTAGAAATCTCATTAGACAACTCCGCAAATCGATGTCTCCAAAAGCTTGGCATCTTCTGAGAGACGTTGTTTGACATAATCGCCAAATGTGCTTCCTTAGCTGCCAAAGATTTGCCTTTCTTTCTCGTAACCAATCAGATAGAGAAATTTTAATGGAGAGTAATTTTGACCTATTGTTACTGAAAATCCATACAGCTGTTATCCATGTTATATTCTAAACTCAGCTTGTGGCCCTATATAAAGGTCCTTTTTGCCAAACGTATGAGAGGAAATGTTGATAATTATTTCAGAATAATATCCTATCAAGAAAATGCACTTCAAAGCGAAGAAGAGCTTTAATAAAACATCACGTCAGAACTACTTTTCGCTATTAAAATTGGTTTTCTCGTTTTGAATATTAATATAAAACCGCGTGCAGCTGAGAGATTTAATTGTGTTTTCAGTTTACTGTAGTAAAGTTTTAGTTAAAAATTCTGATATGTATTCTCGATTTGAACTCTAAATTTCAATTTAAATAAGGACAATTCCCTTTAAAAGATCGAGAGTTCGTTCGTCTCTTCTCTTCAATGGTATCGTCAGCTTTATATCGGTAACTTTGCTCGGTGCTTTACCTAACGTCTGCTACAGTTTTTAGCCGAAAGCTTAAAAGGGAAAAAGAACGGAAGGAAGGTAGACTTGAATAAATTATCAATAAAATTTGTCCCTCCCGAGCTTTCCTTTCTCGTTGAGGGTTTTCCTTGTATTTCTTTTAGTTTATGATCAAAATTTTCAGTGGAATATTTTCTTTTCGTCAAAAAACATCACCAGTCATTATAACGTCAGCTTTATAGATGCGATCTTACTAACTATGAGATGCCGTATAAATCTGCATTTTACTGCTTTTTTCTCAGAAACCTCGCTTCCTCTGTTTTAGATGATTAATGGATTTTGTTCCTATTCTCACACTCATAGAGAAGAATTGAAATACGGAAGAAATTTAGTTACTGGGTCTGTTTGTACCTCAGGGACGAAGCTGCGTTGGCGTTTCTTGCGTAAGCCCTCTTCATTGATCTTATACTTTCGCAGTTTTTCGTCATATAAGAAAAACCTTTTTCATTTGTTTGGCGTAAGAAAGACGTTTCCTTCGAGCTCCCATTTTTGTGTTTTCTTTTGACCAACTTTAAGTGTTTGATCAGTCACGAGCCGTAAAAGTGAGACTTGAGCGACACTAAATAGAAATCAAATTACGTTTATTTTCCTTAAAGAAAAGAAATATGTTTGGTAGTCAGACCCAACTGTTGTGATTTTGATTTTGTCTCAGGGGACTAGAGGAACCTTCACTATAAGTTGTAAAAGCGGTGATATTGTGCTTTTTCTCCCTTTCAGGACTAACAGTAATTTCACAAATTTTGTTCGCGTTAAAAGGTTATTCAACCAAATGAGACCGCTGGGAGTCTGATTTTCTAGATGAGTTAGTAGAACTATGGTTTTACAAAGATTGCTAAAGAAGCAAACGCAACAAATTTAAACAGAGGATTATCTGAAGTAGCTGATTATCGTTTTTCAACGGACGGAACGGCGTGGAGACAATATGAAAAACATTCAACAATATTTTCATGACTTGGATGATTTTTAACTTTCCATTCTATGTAAGGCAAAGAAAGGGACATTTTTGTGATCCTTCGAATGAATATTCTGATCTAAATGAAATGATTATGGCCTTCGCCATCTCTGACTTTTCATCTTTTTGACCGTCGCACACACTTCAACTCGAAGGATAGATTTAAATGTCGTTTCCCGTAATAAAGCAGTCGGCGACCATGCACCCTCATGCAGTCCATCTTTAATTTTTCGTTATTCTTTCCTTTAACAGTCAACGACGACAATTCGTTAGAATACGACATGAAACAATTTTTCTTTAAATGATTCGAGAAGTGACTTTGAGACAATTAAATAGTAAGGATAATTTTATGGCTTCCTTCCTTTGCAATTTTACCAGTGGTACTTCATCAGCATCCACAGTGTAGCATCCTAGACATTCATATGACTTAGGAAACAAGCGTACTCTAATTATTTTCTTTTTTATTTAAATTTGAGAAAGGAGTATTTCCAAACTGTAGTTTGTAGTTTTCTTCCAAATGTATCTGTCGAGTCCTCTTCCCACGATTTACGCCGCCACGCATTTACCGCCATTTTTTAGGTTTATCTTAACTAAAACTAAAAAAGCTGACTGTCAACAACACTAACCCATCAATTTTTTGCTTTGAAGAAAGTCTTTTATAGATGTAGAACATCTAATTTCTCAAAAAGAAAGGGAAAGCAGCGAAGATATAATAAAAACGTCAAATATTCTTGTTTCTGGCCATTTTGAAAACCCATTAAAAATTAAAAGAACCATGGCGGAAAGTGCAGGTGCCGTGCGCGAGAAATTAGTAGGGAATGAAAGTTTTCATATTCTTACTTCACCGCAGTCTAATAGGGATTTCCAGCGAGATGCGAACGTGAGTGAATGTTCTATCGCGATGCGCACTCATTATTAACCAGATGAACTCTCAGGAAGAGACATTTCCCATAAAGACTGGCTAAATCTGTAACATGTGTTAAAAGCAATGTACGTTTGCGCACAACCTAATTTCACAAAACAAAATGTTATGCCGGTAAATGAGCGTGGCAAAATTTGATAGAATTGTATGTTCCTGTTGCTTTGGCTCTTATTGAACAAGGTATTTTATTCATGCTTCTTCTTCCTTGTGCCTTCAGACATGTAAAGGGATTTTGCGTCGTAATAAAAGATCATACTAACCGCTTAAGTTATCTGGAGGATCCGAAGGAGAACGAATTATATCAAGTAAACGGGTCTCCAAAGATGGAAATTTCATTGAATCCTGAATAGGAAAGAGAAGACAAAAGATCCATTAGTGATGAGAGTTTAAGATCCACAAAGGTTTAAAAAAAATTTCCCTAAATTTCCACTTTTATTACGACTTTACATCATAATTTCGAAGCAGCTGTACCTTTAAGCCAACTTTTTCCCTCATTAATTTATGTATGTTTTGGTGAAAGGACGGAGAAAACATTATTGATTCTAGCGAATCCATATTTCTCATTTTTTATTTCGCTCGTCGTCTCCTAACGATTTCATGGAAAATACCGTGTGGCTTTAAATAGACATCTCTTATCTAATATAAAAGGATTCTTTATTACGGTTTCTAACTGTATTCGTGTGAACGTAACGTTGTACTCTTCTTAATTTTGGTTCAAAAAATAATCTACATTGGAAGGGAGAATCACCCAACGTACGGTATCTTTTTATGTGCCTACTTGTTCTTTTGTATATGATGTCTCCTTCAAAATATGTTTTATAATTTCTATGATTTTACCTGATACGAGTAAAGGGAGTTTGAAAGCTCGTTATTTTGACCATGTGAATTTCCAAGGCTAGGGATATCATCCAAAATCGTACCGTCCACGGGTTGCCGATTCAGACTCAAACTTTGTAATCCCTGCGTTATGCTCTGTGTTGAGATGGTCGATCTTGAAACAGGAGGAAACGTAGGGTTTAGACGATGATGATTTCGCATTCGCGAAGAGCTTGGAAGTGTTAACGAAGACGGCCTAGAATTCCTTCCATGTGGGAAATTTATGGCGTTCAGTGTGTGGTTTGAAGGCCGACTTCCCCACGAGTTTTGTTGTTGTGAAGGCCAGCCTGAAATGGATGGCGGGGTCTGTTGATTCCATCCCCCTAAACTTGTTATAGTAGGCATTGATTTGTTTTGCGTTATAAACGCCGAGTTATGAGGAATCGGTCTTCTTGGCTGATGGTTCATTGTTGTCGTCATATTCGTCGGCCCATTTAATCTTCGTGGCTGGGTTATAACCGGAGTGTTGGAGGGTAAATGAATGCCGTTTACTGGTTGTGGAATTGCGCCGGGTTGTACAAATACATCCTCTACGGTGGCCGGCGACCAAAACGTGGTCGATGTTGCAAAATCGTGAAACATGGAGTTCTCTGAATCTCTCGTGAAATTAAGTTTTGTTTGCTCCAAAGGTGTATTTCCCTGCGTTGAATTTACCTTAGATTTTGGCGAGTCGTCTAAACAGTCTTCGCACGAACCGTTTTTAATATTTTTGTTTTCCGAATGTTCCTCCTTTAGATTTCCAGGGAAAAAAAGCGACGTCGCTCGCGAGTCGCTGTGACTGTAGTCAACTGGTGAAAGTGATCTTGTTGTGTGGCCAAAATCGGCCATATCCCAGAATTGTAGAACTAAGGCGAAATAGTGCCTTAGTGGATTACGTATACAGCAGGTGCTATTGTGTTCACCGCGCCACGTCGTTCCTTTTTCTGTCAAGTTGAACAGGATGCGAGTCAGATGAATGGTTCCGCGGTCAGTATCACGTGGTTCTACCTGCTTATGGGAAAATTAATAATGATCATATGAAATCAGATTCGACGATCGGACGCGCATTTCTAATGTGTTTTCGACAACGGTGGTGTTTGATTTGACCTAAGGAGGAAAATACGATTTTCTGCCCTTATGAAAGAATATTGAATGCGACTGGCGCTTTTAAAGGCCTCGGGGTGGGTTGAGAAACAACATCCTGTAAAAGGCCGAAATGCTAGCGGAAGATGCCTCGCCAGTGTAAACAACTAAATGCGTAAATACGATTGCGAGGTTTGTAGGCTAAAGATACAGTCGCTTTTCATGAGCGCGCGAGAGAGAGTCAATAGATTAAAGCGATTGCAATGAATAATTTTCCTTTTTTCGGAGTTTTGCACGTGGTCAAGATGGCTATGGACGCCTTTTTAAATAGTAATAATTATCACAAAAGATATGACTCGTGCCCCTATATGTTTGTACAAGGCAGGTATAGAAGGGTATTGTTCATGGGGTTGTCAAAGTTGTGGTTGCCGGGCTCTACCCTTTTAAAAAATCACAATTTAAAGTTTACGAACAATTCATAATGGCTGAACTTAAGTCAGCTCAACCTATTGATTTCCTGACAAAAACCTTTCAACACAAAAGGGAATTTTCCTAGTTAGTAGGCCTCCTTTCATTGCATAGATAATATAGAAAACAGTTTATTCTGATTGGCAGACGATTTCTAAGAAAAGATTTAATCTTTGATCTGAGTGGTAGAGGGCGTCTTGTCCTATTGTCTATCAAAACTTCCAGCTGCTACTGCCGTGCTATTGTCGTGTAAACAGATTTTCAGTTGAAAGAAATTTTGCTCTCGCTAGGTAAAACATGTGTGAAATTGAAGCCATTTCTATGTGCATTTCTCCCACTACTGTGTCTAGGAAATCTCCAGTTGAAATGCACACTCTGACGCCGTCAATGTTAGGTTTAGTAAATCATGCTTCTAGACTTTCGCACCCTATCCATCTTGTGCTCTGATATAAAAGCGACACGGCTGCATATCCGCATCACAGAAGTTTACTTTAATTGATATCTTAGCGAAATAGGCAAAATTCTTTTTTGCCTTTCGATATGTTTTCGTGCGTAGGTGAGGTCGGAAGTGATTGAAAACCGGAAGTTTCTTCGACTTACTTTTGCCCATAACCCAACAGGGTCACTCGACGCCATCTTGAACGTTTGCAAAGCCTTACCACTCGTGTACTTTGTCAACAATTTGCAATAATTTTTGTGAAATCAGTGGAATAATTCTGGACTGCATCTTGATGGCTTCTGCTTTGGTTGATGATTGGGATATAAGGTAGGTTAATAAGCCATAAAACTCCTCCAACAGGCCTTTGCCTTCGATCCCTAATCTAAGTTGCCAGCTTATTAGAGCGGCTAGAGAGCGAAGGAAGGTTATCTTATACACATAGTTGCGGAGGTCCATCTGTTGTCAGTAGCACCAGTGCTGGCGAAAGTATAAGGTCAGTATCCCCAAGTGCTACATCTTTGGATCCTCCGATCTGCTGCACTAAGCACTAACTCTAGAGAACTTTAAACAACACGCGTTCAAACAAGGAAGCGATCGGCACTCGGTCGGTTGATTTTTCGTCAAGTAATTAACTTAAAATCTCAGAACAGGGAATTTTTATGCGGTTAATGGTAAAATTACAGCTGAAGTTGCTGTGTGCATGATGATCGCCAAGTTTATTGTGAACTGCCTTGGTATTTGTCGTCCTCAGGCCTCAGGTTAGTAAACGTACGCATTTCTTAAGTATTGTTTTCGACGATTTTGAAGGATTTTAGTTCGACCATTGACTGGCGCTGAAATAGGACCATAGACTGCCGCTCGAATCAGTTGAACGGTTCGGTTGTCGTGACCCCCATAATTCAGATAATATAGTAACCCTTAAGCTTAGAAATTTGGTTTTGATATAGGTAAACAAGCAGAACAGATAGTTATGCTTCTTGTATTTCTTTCTCAATTTGGAACTAAAATTTGCTGTAGAATAATTGAAACCCTAACAAAAGGGGAATCTAAATTATGCTAGTGACTAAAATGAGCTTTCGACTCCACAAAGAGAATATTAGATACAAAATGTCTTTTGACTTTATTTTGGAAGAATACTGAGCTGCTTGAACTACCTAAATCACATCAATTTGCAGCCTTCAGTGCTCATAGTTTTTGGAGAATGGAAAGTAGAAAAGAAATTGAAAAGGATGAGCAAATATTGAACCTACTATCCAATCCATTCATGAGACTTTATCTATATGTACAAAAAGGGCTTGTTGAGGATGCAAATACAGGTTTGCATACAACCCACAACCAATCAAAACAATTATGAGAGGCTGCAAATGAAAGCACTAAAAAAATGTCATGTGGTACAACCCTTAGAGAACTCAAGCTCAAAAACAAACCTGTAAAAACATTCACATTGTCAGTGCGGCATGTTGCTCTTAACCTTGTTTACACTTAAGCTGAACACTGGTCTCAGTAAGGTTCTCTCTCAGCCACAAATTAAGTTCAGCCATCCTTGATTGCGTCCATCACTTGGTTTCACACAAACTGTGCACAACTTTTGTATATGTTGTTAAGCTGGAACTCAAGTATGGATGAAGGAATCAGATAAACAATATTCCTGGCACCCTTAAATGTTTTTTGGTAGTGAAATTGCTGTATCTTTTGCAATTATCCTTAGAGTGGACATTGAATATGAGATGCTAAGTAGCCAATGGGGCACGTTCCATAGGTAGCCATAACAAATTTTGTATCCGATGGGCACAAATAGAATGGTAATTGTTTCTTCCAGCTTTAATTGTGAAGCAATGCACTTGTCTGGTGATCATTTTGCCACTTTTGGGCCAAAGTTGGTTGTTTGCTCAGTGGTTTAAGCAGACCTTTTTTCAGTTTTTACAGCAATATCAAAACTTATAGAATGTGTTAGACAGTCATTCTGTTCAGGGTAATTGAATTTAAGACTTAATGCTACTTGTTTCAGTGGCTATTCACTATCTCGTATCCTAGACACTCTTGTGGAACAATTGTCAAGTCCATTTTTATGGGAATTTAAGTCCTCATTAGTGATTAAAGTCAAATCAAACCAGAGTTTTTATAATTTAAAGATGCACTTGGTGAATCTTTTATTTCTGTTATAGAAGAAATTTAGGCTTAAGCGCTTGTTTGTGAAGAAATTTTAATTACCAAACATTGATTTTCTCCTTCCATCGTCAAAAATGGAGGGTAAGTTTGATAAACTTGAGTAACTTCACTCCTCTGTGTTTGAGGGCATATTCATTTTCATTTGTGTTGACAACGAGTGGATGTTACAGTGGCCGAATGGTTGTACACTTCGACCAATGTGGTTGATATTTCTGTGGAATGAATCTGATGGACAGGTTGACCATGTCATTTTTGACACTGAAACTTTCCACATTTTCTAGTAGCCTGAGCATCAAATATGATTATTGTGGTTTTTAGAAAAGATTCTCTGAATGAAATAAACATACATGTAGTTTTAAATTTCAAGTGTTTCTTTCTATTTTTGTTAGACTGTGATTAGGTATTCCCCTGATTACCTTCTTACCTTAAAAAACTTTTTTCAACCCAATTCAGTAACCTTGGAGCCTTCAAATTTTGAGGAATACATGAAGAGCTTTTTGTGTGAATGTTTAAATTCAAAAGATTAAAATTTCTTATTTAATAACCTTTATAATTTCTATCTTATAGACGTTGTTGGGTATGTTTTGCTACAGAAGAAGATGAACCCTTGTCACAGTGGGTTCGGCCCTGTCGCTGCCGTGGGACAACAAAATGGGTCCACCAGATTTGCCTTCAACGCTGGATTGATGAAAAGCAAGCAGGCAGTTCAACAACAAAAGTGTCTTGCCCACAGTGCAATGCAGAATATGTCATTGTATTTCCACCTTTAGGACCTCTGCTTCAATCTGTGGAGTTCTTAGATAAACTTATCCATAAGTTCTGCCCCATAGCTGCGGCAGGAGTCATTGTTGGGTCATTATATTGGTCTGCTGTCACTTATGGAGCAGTTACCGTTATGCAGGTTTTGGGTCATAAAGAAGGACTTGAGGTTATGGAAAAAGCTGATCCTTTGTTCTTATTTGTTGGACTTCCAACTATCCCTTTGGCACTTATACTTGGGAAAATGGTTCGCTGGGAGGATCACGTGTTAAGGTTGTGGAGACGCCATTTCAGTAAGATGTCCTTTCTTGGCCATATTCTGCCCAGTTTAGCTGCGTGTGATTATGCATCACGCACTCCAGCAGAGCCCACACCATTATCTGACCCAGTGTCTCTCACCAGGCTCCTTTGTGGTGCTTTGATTCTGCCAACAATCTCCACACTTATCGGCAAAGTGTGTTATGGGTTTGTCCCTTCAAGTCTGCATCGAGCCTTACTGGTAAGTGTTAAATTACTGTGTATGAAATTTAAATTGTTCTGAAAATTTTCCCCTCAACTTTGTGTATACAGTGCACACTGTAGGACCAAAGACTTTAATTTAAATGTTTATACCTTCACCTTTGCTGTTCATGCGCATAGAAGATACTTTCAGTTGTGTGAATAGGTAGACTAATTAGACAAATTATTTTTAATTTCATTAAAATGCGTAAATCTAAGCAAAAACAGATACATTATTGATGTAACCATGGCATTACAAGCAAGAAAAGGAGAGAATGAACATTCATGTACAAGCCGCTTGTGGAGAACAAGTGGGGAAACATTACTGTCACCATGGCCATTTCACCACTTAAAAGCTATGGCTTTCATTCTCCTATATTTCATGGAATGAATGCATAAAGATTTGTTTGCATATAGCAAAAAATGCATGGTCATCTGTTGATGTAATATAACGTTATTGCGTCTGAAAAAATGGTGTGTGAAGATCACCTATTATATCACTGGCAGCACCTGTGGGCAATATGAAGCAAGTCCTGTTATCTCATTGGCTACCCAGGCAAGCAAGAATTTTGATCCTTTTTAAGAAAAATATTACATGGAGAGGACTTTCATAGACTCGCAAAATTTCACATGGAGTTGCAAGAAGCAGCAGATGACAATCAAAGCTGGAAAAACACTGATTTCATGGTTTTATTGTGCAATTGGCTTTTTTTTCCTTGCTCTTGAAATAAACAAATCATTCTTGATTCTTACAAAGCAAAATCTTTCTCATTCTTTTTTTGTGTATTTATGGACCTTGACTTCATTGTAGTCCATAAAAACCCAAGGAAAGGGAACTCGTGCAATATCTGTCCATCTTGACATTATGCTTAGTCAATAAGATATATGTATGTATGTATGTATATGTTGCAATAGGGGAAAAAAACAGAGAGACTATACTTTCATCCCTACACGAAACATCCCCTGATATATATATATATACACATACAAAGATCACCACTTCATTGCCTTCAATATTGTTAATTTCTACCCATCCATTTCATACAAGCCCCTCAAGGATGCCCAAACTTTTGCTGCTTCTTATACCAGCATCTCAGTTTAAATTGGAAGAATTATTTTCCACACTAAGCAATTGCTATTGTTCAACGATGACATCCCGTGGAACAAGAGGTATTCACCAGCCTCATTTGATGTAACAATGGTCTCCTTTGATGGTGCAGAAACCTGAAAACTAGTGGGATCATAGTTGTTCAACTATGGTGGCCGTGGTGCATTTCAACAAAAGCAAAAGAGATCAAAAGAATTGAGAAAGATATTTGCAAAGTGTTCACCAACAATGGCATGAAAATAACAATTGAAGCAAGCAAGGTTTACACTGAACCTAATCAAAGGAACTTATGCACCATATACAAACCCAACAACATTATGTTGTATGTGTGCTGTGAATGTAATCACTCACACTCCATCATCAAGAACGTTCCCCTAATTATCAACTAAAGGCTTTGCTAAATCTCATCAAGCAAAGAATCCCTCGATGAAGTGGCATCTATGTATTAGCAAGTGTTACAACCAGATTCATAGTGAGGAGAGAACTAGGCGCAGAAAGATACCCACCCCTCAGCACAAACATTGCTACTGATGTGGGAAAGAAATTTTTAGATGTCGTAAAGGAATCCTTTACAGCAAGGGACCCAATGAGAAATAGCGAATAATACATGGGTGCGCATGGGTATGGAATTTCTCTTCAGGTGTTAAACTTAATAGCTCACAAGTGAGCGCAGCAAAGGAGTAAGATGTCAAGTTGAATATGAGAAGAGAAATTTTATATTCACAAGCAACCATGCATTATTTTGTTTATCATATAAACAATATAGCCCTTTACCAAGAAGAAAAGTCAACTTATATTTATGATTGAAAATAAAAGGATCAATAATCCCTAAATAAAGATCGTAAAGTGTATTGCCGCACCCAAGATGAAAACCTCCACTGAATCACTACAAAAACAAACAATGGGCCTAATTTTCAATGTACAAAATCCTCAGTTTTTAGCAACTATTCCTTACTGAAAGAAGAAATCTTTTAGGTGCACAGCCAAATCTTCCAGGTGTCAATTTTTGTTCTCAGCCACAAGAAATGCCATTATCAAGGCCACAGAATACATAACTTTCAGTTTTTCTTCTCATATTTTTCTTTCCTCCCCCTAAGTTTGAATGTCACTGTCTGTAAGTGATAAGGATTTTTCAGTGTTTTAGGAACCATAATCCGAAATCCAACCATTGACCTTGGATTGAGAATGGTGAGGGCTTTGCTGTTCATTAATCAACTTGACTGAGTGGTGCAAAAGGCAAGTGACATGTCAGTAGCTGATTGGTCACAATTGAGTTGAGAAAACACATGTTGTCCCTAAAGGACACCAGAATGGAATTTGCTGTGACCTTGAGAATAATCTTGCGAGACCATATACAAACGTGACATAGAGATGCCACCAGTGCATAATGGAAAAATTCTCCATCAAATGCAAACCAGGGGCATGCACCTTAAACAAAAGGAACAAAGTGGCGAGTGCATGCCAGCAAGTGAGCAAGTACCTGATAACACATGCTTCAATGACCAGCCTACAAAGGGAACATAGATCCGTCTTCAAAAACCTTGCATTTTGAAGAATAAAAATTTGTATAACTTTTGTTTACTCACCAAAGAGTGTCTCTTTTTGATTAGAAAGCAAAAGATTTATAGTTATATTTCCTGTATATTTTCAAATTGCAACCTTTTCAAAAATGGATGTATGTATATAATTGTATATATGTATGTGTGTGTGAAGGGGGGGGGGGGTGTATGTGTGTGTGTTTTCAATTGACTTACAGTGTAAATGTTTTCACACCACTGTTATTGAAGTCCACTATTGCTCAAATGAAAGTACAGTGCATTCCAAGTAAATGAATGTCAATTTAAGGAAATGCTTTTCAAAGCAATGTTGCATGTTAATGCCTTTGGTAATGTCTTTGAAGAATTTCTTTGTTTTTGTTAGTAAATGATGTACAAACAAGTGAGAATAATTTGACATTGGTGGTTTACCTTTTCACAAAAATAAACATAGTTATTTTTTTCAGCTAATGAACAACAAAAGGTGTAAAATGAAATATACTGTAAATGGAAACAGTAAGAAGTCTGTTCACAGACCTTCTTTTAAAATATCATTGTTGTTAGTTATAGTTATCTTCTGGATATTAAGTCTTCTTACTATTACAATAGTAAGGAACAAAATATAAACAACCAGAGGAGAACCTAGGAAGGATTTCAGATCTTCTGCGTTACTACTTCATATTAAAGATATATCAGAACATCTTCCCCGCTGCCCACAACAACGAGACGTGTGCACCATTTCCAAATCGGACAAGACGATCGGGTCACACTGAGAGCGGCCGTAAGACTCACTTTGACCATGCAAACGGGACGGTGTCCTCCAAAACATTTTGATTGAATGCGTCAAAGGGTATATTGGGGAAACGGGGAGAGCAGTGTGCGAAACAATGAAAGGACATCACAACAAAAAGTAACAACTTAGCAGAACACGTGAACATAACAGGACACGAACTGTTTGTGACCCAAACTCATAAACTAATGGGGTTAAACAAGTCACCCACCCATATATGGAGAAGAAATTACTCAAGTATGGACGCCTTCAATCAACTAGGGCAAAAGCTGACCAGTTTTAAAGCGGATCTGCAAGGGAACAATATCACAAATGAAAGTGTGCCAAACCTCACGTACATGTAGGGCAACTAACTATCGTGTTCTTTAAAACAAGGACGCGTACCCATTCAGCCTCATAAAGTGGCGAAGACGCCGCAGTGGAAATGTCGCTTTCTGTGATTGATAGCTTCACTCTTCAATTGATTTTATTCCTTTTCATGTGTATTATGATTGAACTTTCATTTCATCAGTTGTCGGTTGCATGGTGAACCAAACCTCTGTGTTTGTTAGATTCAGGGAATTTCTGGCGAAAATTGATAGAGTTTGGGCCATTTGATGTGGAGGGGGCGGGTAGGTATTTTGGGTGCGGTAAGAATTCTTTTTATCCTTTTGATGGCTGAAAATACAATTCAACGTGTCTAAAATTCTTGCTGAAAAGCTTCAAAAAAAAAAAAGAAAAAGAAAGAGAATCTTTATGAATACAGAAAACGAATGGGAAAGTATCACCTGCACTTTAAAAAGTGGGAAAAAGCACTTTTCTTATTTTATCCATACACAAATTTAGTAATTGTTATGCTGTTATTTCAGGGAGGCATAAGCTTTGTGGCAGTGAAAGGAGTTGTCAGGATCTACTATAGACAGCAGCAGTATGTAAGGCAAGCTCAGAGAATTGTTAAAAACTATGGTGAGGAATAATCCTTCAACATTTGGTGCCTTTCGAGTCTCTTTCAATGGTGATAAAGTACACAGCCACAAGCATTTGATAGATGTTCAGCTGTCTAGTTAGAGATTTATGGCCTTAAGAAGAGGTGACTGTAGATATCAAGAATCCGTCACCAAGACTAAAAGATGAAATATGTGTAGCAAGGAGAATTAAGCAAGCTCTTTTTTTGAAAATTTTTATAGAACTTTTTGGTGAATTTCTATTCTTTAAAAATCCGCCAAAAAGTGAAATTGACGTGTTCGCGCTCTTGTCGTCAATGAATTTTTGCAGTAAAGTGTTGGAACTGATTTAAATCGGTCGTAGAGAAAGACGGCTGAACGTTAATAAACTATCCTAAGCAAGTCAGTTGGTTAGTGCAATTTTAGTACAGCCCACGCTGGAGTAAATACTTGGATATTTGAATTTTTTTTTCAATAGGGAGGTTAAGAATTTTTACTTGAAACGTTAAATTGGGTGTTCTAAAGAAACCTCTCATGAACGTCATGCTCTTAGTTTTCGTTAATGGCAAACTTGGGGCTAATCTTATGCTGCACTCATTATCATTCCCTTTCCCCAAGGCGACGATTAAAGTGCGCTCATTGGCAAAAAGTAAAGGCATCAATCTGACTTCATTTAAAGATCAACAG